GATAGTGCTGGCCACATACTCCCCGCTCAATAAATTCTTGTTGACTTCAGTCTTGTTCATTCTGCAAAGGTTTGTTCACTTGGCCTAAACTGGGGAATGATTTTAACTGGGGCCTGGAGTAAGGAACATCTGGAGATAATCATGTCATCTGGCCATGCAGAACCTCTGGGCATCGGAAAGCTTTCTCAGATATGAGCAGATATGAAATGGAAACCACTACCTGATACATCTCTATCATTTCTCAGGGTACTCCCTTTAGGGTAGTAGAGGAGTTCATGTCTTAAAAGTGCATTTGATCAGTCCATTATTCGGTAATGCTTATTTACATGGAAAAAGCTTAAAAAGAAAAAGTATGCGTAGTCAAGCGCAAGGTCTTGCAGCAAGAAGTTTCTTCTCTTGTTTTCTTTTGCAGTGCTTTGGGGGAAGGGAACAAGGTTAGGAGCCAAATCTGTGAACCTGAGACCTAGCTCTGGAATCCTTAGACATGAAACCTTTATCTCTTCCCATTATCTTGTTAACTATCAGATTCTCTGCTGATAAAATGGGCATGATGCTTTATTGGGGTGCAAACATCTGCTTTCTCTGCTTGTTCAGCATCCTTCTGTCTTTTTCTGGAAATAGTCCATGCCTTTTCTAGAATAATGATTCTCATACTGAAGCATATGTCAGAATTATGGTAAGGGCTTGTTAAAACAGATTCCTGAAACCTCCTCCCAGGGTTTCTTATGTTGCTCTGAGATGGGACTTGAGAATTTGAAGTGTTTCTAGCTGGTATTTCCCATAGGGGTTCTGAAGTTGGTGGTCTGGGGACCCCACTTTGAGATTTGCAGCATTAGAAATCTATTCCTCTCTTATTCTCAGTGCATGAGGTTCAGAGGCTAATTTCAGACCTTGGCTTCAAGAGTGGGAATAGGATAAGGGCCCAGTTCATTAGTTTGTTTCCATCATTTGGACATGGAGTACAACTGGGGAGGGCCAGGGACCCACATCCGGCCACTAGAATTCACTTCAAAAAGCTCTAACTGGAGCATGGCCCCCTGTGTGAGTTGCTCAGCAGGTAGAATGGAAGCCTGAAGCCGCTGTGAGCCATCCTGCCTTTCCTCTCGATCACGGCAACAAAGGAAGTCAGTGCTGGAACTTGCAGGGCTTTCCCAAATTGTTCCTGATATCTATTACTCATCCTTGGAGCACGCTCCATGGTACTACGCTTCCCCTTGGCTTGAGCGACTTGAGCTTCTGCCGTTCACAATGAAATAATCTTAAATAATAGGTACACTTCATAACCATGCTGTCCGAGTTTAGTCTTTCTTTTTTTTTTTTTTTTTTTTTTTTTTTTTTTTTTTTTTTTTTTTTTTTTTTTTTTTTAGAGACTGATCTGGAACTCACTATGTAGCCCAGGCTGGTCTCCAACTCACAGCGATCCTCCTGCCTCAGCCTCCCGAGTGCTGGGATTACAGGAGGCTAGTCTTTATTTTTTTAACCTTAAGAGAAGTTACAATTTTAAAACAATAAACAAGGTTGGGTGTGGTAATCAGAACACTTGGGAGGCTGAAGCAGGAGGATCGCTGTGAGTTCGAGGTCAGCCTGACTAGCAAGTAAGGCCATTTGAGAATAGTACAATAAGAATAACCATGATAACTGGAAAAAGGAAGTGAGTAACTTTTGCCATCTATTTAATGAACACCAGTTTCTCTGTTTAATTACTCACATGTATTATCTAACTTAATCCACACGAGGACCCTTGGAGGCAAAGAGAAGCATAATCTCACTGACCAATGAAGATACTGAATGTCAGAGATTATAAGGAACTTGTCAAGGTCACACAACAAGTTAAAAGAGGGAAGAAAAAAATCCGAAATACTTAAAAAAAAAATAACTCAAATGTTCTGACTTCAGAAGCTGGACTCTGTCATCCTTGTGAGAGCAGGAGACGTGACCTTCCCTTTTAACTCAGAGTCCACGTCTTGTTGAGGATATGATCATGACGTTTGGTTCAGAGCAAAAATGTAAAACAAGAAAATGTAAACACAGTTTAACTATGTCTCAGAGGACCGAAAATGCCTCCAGCTGATTTCAAGCTGGGAGAACAGTGTTTCTGGCTTTCTCCGAGGGCCTAGAGGCAATGCTCTGTGTCCAGTTGATCACCTCTGCCTGCCTGTCCATGGGCCTGGCCCAGGGTACCCACAACAGGATGTTTTAACTCCAGCTAATGCTCAAACTGTCCTCTGTCCTCATTATTGTGGTGCAAAGCCCACATTTCCAGCCCACTTGCCTACTCAGACTCTCCAGGAAGCCCGCTCCAAGGACCTGTACCTAAAACAGAGTTGTTTCTGTATGCTCCAGACAATGCCAACTAAATATCTCATAGCTTACCAATTTCCCCACCTCTAAAATATATACTTGGATGAGTTGATTATATAAAAGCATTGATTTCTCTTGATTTTGATGGGCTTTTTCAGGGTGTCCCGTGGCTCTTTTTCACCTCACCGCAACTGCTCTACGCTTTGATTTCCATTCCTTTGTATTTGTTACAAGGTAAAATGTCACACTGGTGTGCTCTTGTGTACACAGTGCAGGTGCTGGAATTTGATCTGGCATCATCTGATCAATCAATCTTTATTGCCTGCTAGAATCCTTGCACGAACTTGCTAACCTGAACCCTGTCTTCACTCTCATCTCATGCACCCAAAACAAGTTTCTCCTGGTTGCATTCTCTTCTCTCCAAAACACACAGATTCTGATAGCACATAAGCTAAAGACCTGCAATGCTGCAACCACTTTGGTGTGACATAGAAACGCTTTCTTCGATTCTTGCTCAGTACAGTTCCAGCTTTTCTTGCTGTAGCCCTATGCTAACTATGCCACGTAGAGCCTCAACTAGCCTATATTTGTCCTATCCTAACTAAACCTCTGCTACTTGGATTCAATCTCCTCACCTCTGCTGAGAAGTGTTCCCTGACTGTACTGATCACCATGCTCACCCAAACATCATCCATTTTTCAAGTTCCAGCAAAAAATCTTCCTCCTCCATGATGCATCTTCAGATCCTCTTGGCTGAAGATAATATCTGCCTCCTCTGGTCTTCCATAGTTCTTTTATTGCTCCTATCTCATAGCTCCTAGCCCTGTGTCTATTATAGTCTTTTATAGATAGAAATCTTATCTCCCCTACTAGTCTATGAAATCTTGAGAAAACCATCCTGGTGTCATTTATCAATGCATTACACGTTGGACATGGTTTTGTACCCTACACATATTGAAAACTCATGTATCTAATAAATAAATAAACCTGGGAGATCTGGAATAGGACCCTTCCCCAAAATGTTCCTCTTATTAGCCTGTTATATTGATGGAACTCCCGCGGTGCAAAATTGGTTACCCTGTGCTAGCACCAACTGTTCATGGTGAGGGAATTTCATTATACTTAATAACAAATATCTCCATTCTTCCTGGTCAGCTGGAGACCTTGCCTGAAGCAGTCCCCCATAAATATAATTTTAAAAACATAATGGTGTATCTTATAAAATCCACGTTGAATTTTGAATTCTATTCCACAAGATATCAATATTTAATTTAATGTAAATTGAACCACCCAAAATTCAAATAAAATTAAACCCCCAGCATCTGTCTGCACCAGACATATCCTGTGACCCTGAATACCCTCAGAACCCCTGACTGCAAGGCACAGTATTTAAAGATTCGAGTCATTAATATATTTATGTGAATTAATGATTCAGCTCTTTCCTGGCTGAGGGCAAAGGGAAGACAATATCAGAAATGGAAGACTTCATAGAGGTCGAGTAGCACTGTGCTTCCAAAAGAGACAGAGTAACGACCTCTGGGGCACACAGAAAATGTCCTCAGCGTTTGAGAATGCGTAAGGTACCCTGAGACTCAAAGTGAAGGGAAGAGTCTGATCTGGTCAATAATACTCCAGGAGGTGGTCCAGCTTTGGCCTCTCTTCTCCTCGTAGAAGTTGGAGGCAGGATTCAAAGAGGTCCTCAATTCACTTTCTTATTGGAAGCTGAGCTAGCTTATCCAGAGCCCAGGGGCTGTCAGCACTTGATTGTTAATGAACGTGTTTCCTGTAGATAATTATAGGAAAGGGAATATTGACAGCACTTAAAATATTTCTTTCTTTTTAATTCATTAATTATATTGCAATTATCCCATGCTCAGGAGCTGTTCAGGAGGCTGGATTCCAGCTATTCCTATGAGACTCCATGGGCAGAAATGAGGGCTGAGGGTTTGGGGAGAGAGAATATGAAGAGAAAAGCTCAGAAAAGGTTAACTTTGCAGACACAAGAAGCTAATTGGAAACCTCTTAAACAAAATCCAGGTTAATAAGAGTTGAAAGGAACAACACATCCCTTTTAATAATAATTATTACAGTTATGATTTTCTTCCATCTACATCAAAATTACTTGCATTTTGAAGGAAATGCATCGTAAGTTACGTGACTGCTCCTGAAAACACCTGGCCTTGAAGTTGAATCACAGCATTCACAGCCTTGGAGAGTTAGGCCAGATCTTACAGATGCCTTCAGAACAATTGGGGCACAGTTGTGAATACTGCATCCTGCTCTGTCACATTCTAGAACTGTCATTTCGTTCTTTTCTCAATTCACTGTGTTAACCATAAGATTTGTATGTAAACTGGATCCATAATGTCTTATTGGACTCTGACTGTATGCCAGAAGTATGAGACTAAGAGTGCTACAGATCAGGTCTCTTCTCTAATAGAATTTCCCATGTGAAACATAATAAATTAAATATACAATCAAGATGTGGATAGTGGAGAGTTACAAGGACCATGGTAGTTGGTAATGTAGTCATGAGGATGGGTGTTCAGAAGGCTTTCTGGTAGCGTATGTACCACAAGAATAGGGTCTCTCCAAACCCCCATGTTTTCAGACTTCACTTTTGCAGCTTCCAGAAATTCTAAGATGGTTCTTTTCCAGTAATGCCATTTCCAAAACCTTGATGGTGACAGTGGGGGGGGGGTGGAAGTTGTCCTCACATACAGTGGGGACCACAGTTCTTCAGTTGGCTCACTGATCTTCCACTCCCTGTTCTCCTTTTATTATTCACAGAATCCTTCCGGTTCCAGTGGCAAACTGCTAACCTGCATGCCACTCCTTAATGGTGTCACCTCCGACAGCAAAGCACAGCATTAAAGGTCCTGAGTCAATGTGTTTGTGCCAATTAGCAATTTAACTCTTTTCTAGCTGAGGGAAAAAGGAAGATAATATTACAGACTGGAAACTTAATAGGTGCCAATGAGCATTGCATTTTTTTTAAAGAAATGTCTAAAACAAATCTAGAGAAGACAAGAAGTGTCCATGGCATCTGAAAATAGTTGAACAGATACTTGAGACTGAAGGTATTGTTTCTCTCTGGCTCTCTCTCTTATGGCAATTACCTCACGTTACCTGATGGCAGATGATAGGCCCTGCTGATTAAAAATATATCAATGCAATTGTCTTAGTCAAGGTCCCAAATCCTAAAAAGTCTGATCAATGTAGCAAAGACTTACAGCTGATTTACAGCTGGCCACAGGTGAGGAAACCAATGAAACTACACAACTAAGCTGAGCCTAAATTGATAACTTGAAAAGTCCTAAGTTATATAAATGGCTATTGTTTAAGCCATTTGTTTTCTTTTTTTGTTTCAGGGATAGAACTCAGGTCCCTGCACTTGCAAGGCAGGAGGCGGAACCACTCACCTAAATCCCCAGCCCCATTTTTAAGCCATTTGATGGGATGGTTTGTTATGCAGCAATAGCTAACTGATACAGCATTAGTTCAATTCAATCAAAGTGTTTTGATTTTTTATCATGTTTCTAGTCACTGTAGGTATAGCAATAAATAAGATGCAACCCTTGTTTGTAGGTATACCTACACTATAGGTATAATAATAAGAAACTTTCAAGCCAATGCCTATTAATAATTTTTTCTGTGGAAATCTAGAATGTCTACATTTGGTCCTCAGAGTTACCTGGAATCTCTCTAAAACTGTATTAAAATGCTCCATGTATATGCCTGTGTACGGTTTTGGGGAGGAAGCACCTTTGGTTTTGTATAGTGTTTTAAAAAAGTCCCAGAAGATAAGGACACTCACTGGATAATAATGTATTCCAATCCTGTTTGTAGTGGTCAACACTCACTCTACTTAGGGTACATTTTACTGCTGACTCATCCAATCAGGATGATGTCCTTGAAATAATATGCTACAAGAGGCCACTGAGGTTTATGTGTCGTATGATCAGACTGCTACACCTGCCTTTAAAAAAGCTTCTAACAGATGATGTTTTCACTTCCTTGTCATATAGAGCACAACCTCTGTATGACCCAAAGCACATCTTTTCTGAAAAATGATAGGCTTATCTTTGTCCTTCTTTTGCTTACCTACTATGAAACAGGTAAGTTTTTTCCCCAGGGCAAGAATAAAAGTCCATCATTCCCTATAGTCTTTCTCTTCTGGCAACAAATTCCTTTCACCTGAGCCAATAATACAAAAATATCTACACCACTGTTCTTCTTTGATGATTTTACTGAGATCTGTCTGAGATTAAGAGTCACACCAAACCTTGGTATGACATCTAATAGGCAGATGAATTCTCTCTTTCTCTGAATCATCAAGGTTTCCTTTAATTTAGTTTAAACAGAATAAAAAAGAGAAGCAGGGTGAAGGACAGAAATTACCCTGAGTAACTAGAAAGCCATCTCTTACAGTTCCCCCACAATATCGCTTAGCAGCTTTAACCAGAACTACCATCTCTGTGAACTTAGGTCTTATTATTTGTAAAATTGGAATCCTAACTCATTTCTTGCCCTCATCACATAGGTGACACTCAGCAGCTCAAGCAAAAATGTGTGTAGAGCACCTAAAACTTGTAAAGTGCAACCAAATATGTTTGGTCTCTTCTATCTTGTATTTCTGTGGCTCACTTGTAGTCTGGTGCCTGGTGCAATACAAGTCTGCCAAATTTTCACCTCTAGAGTTAATATATATTTAAACTATCAAATGGACAACATCACTTACAAAATCAGCCTCTCTGGGAAGCCTTCCTTGATTTTTCACTTGGTGGCTCGGGTGGTCTGGTATTGAACAGCTGCAGTCCTTTTGTTTCCCCAAATGTCATGCTAGCATTAGTTTTATTTCTGCATAGAGATGCAATAATTAAGTGGTTAACAGCGTGACTTTGGGACACAGTGCATGTCAAATCCAGTAATAACTACTTACTGGCTGTATAAAATTTTGAAAATTATTTAATATCCCTATGCCTCAGTTTCTCCCCTAGGAAAATAATAGTTTTAAGATTGTGTACAGTTTAGAGAAGATTAAATAAGTTAGGTGTGTAAAACGTTGACTATGGTTTGTAGCACTTAGTGGGATATGAAAAAATAACTAAAACATGGTACTTAATATTATTAGCTCTGTGCTATGCCAATATGGGAGCATCTTTGAAGGTAGTGGTGGTGTCAGAAGCCATAGTGGGAGGGATGTTTGCTTGCTTCCAAATCTTTAGTATGTAGTTATTGAGATTAATAAAAATATTAAAATCATGCATATATAACACAGATAAATGAATTATTTGGGGAAGAAGTCCAATTCTGAAGGGACTACATATCCTCATGAACTGGTCCTAGCTCCATCCCTAATTCCTTCTGATACCTCATAAAACACGTGGTATCTCTATAGCCTCCAATTTCCTTGTCTGTTAAATGAAAGCAGCAGACCACATAATCAGTAATGACCATTTCATCTCTAGAGATCTATAAAATGGGATTATAGGGTGAGGAGAAAATGAATTATTGTGTCCAGTGTCCAGGGATAGGATAGACAGCTTACACAAAATATCTCCTCCAACTCCCTAGTGCACCATCGAGAAAATGAGCCGATTTCCATTTCATAAAATTACAGATTGATGAGATCAGAAAGGTTAAGTAACTTGCCCAAGATTACACAGCTAGTAAGTAGTGAAATAAGAGCACTACATTTTGACTAGAGTCAGAGGTCAGTCCTGTCCACTACTCTACTGACAGAAGATGTAAAAGTGGGAGGTCAGCTATGTGTAACTCGTGCCATACCTTCTCCTGTCAACAGGCAGGAGAGGCAGTCGGCAGTGGGCAGGTATCCTTAGAGCAGATGTAGGAAGAGCTGTCATCAGGCATGCACATTTAGACACATCAGCATCTGTGTTGGTATCCAGATGGGGAGACATTAAGCAGGGAGACAGTAGCAGCTATAACATTAGCCTTGAGTTAATTGCTATTTTGTGTCCTTATGGAATGAAACATCCATTGTACATATTCATGCAGCAAATGGAATTTATAACAATTTCTTTGAGTTGGGAACCACTTGTCCCCTCCTTCCTGGAGATAATCCAATGTCTATATTTAACCCAGCAGGCTTGGTGGCATTACATTTGGGTGATTATTTATAGATACCCTCATGCACGGTCTGCTGAAAAGCCATAGGGATTCTGCAGAGGCAGGGGGAAAGAATAGCTCCAGATGTGTAACTGCACGTGAATTTAAGTCTGGTTCTTTGTGGGGTAGGAATGTCTGGAAGCTCAAAAACTCATGAGAGGTTGGCGTCTGCTTTTTATTTTTATTCCTAACTCTGAACGTGATGGGCTTTCTTTGAACATGTGGATAGCTAGACCATAAAATGTTACAGATGGAAAAAAATTAGAGTCTTAAGCCTAATCCCCAGATGGACTTTTGAATCTTCTGCACAGTGTTCACATTCAACAAATATTTATTAACTGCAACCTGGCCTTACTGCTCACCATTGGAACAAATAGTGACTAAGAAAATGCACTAAGAACTGCTGTAGGATTGCTCCTTGCAATACCAAACATGGTCTATATCCTCAAGTCCCATGTTTCAGTTGGTAGGATGATGGGTAGGTGGAGATTTATGAACTGTGCAATCAACAAGACAAATATTATAATGGAAAGAATTGCAAATTATGATGTGATTGCCTGGCACAATAAGAGCTCATTTGATGATAACCCCGATTATCATTCCCATTTTACTGATGTGCCTGAAGAGAGCTTCACAGTTGACTCTTGATTATCAAGTTGAATTTCTAAAGGCAAAGAATCTGAAAAGGACAGAACACAAGAATTAAATGATGAAATATCTTGGGGAGTAGTGAGACCAGAGACTGAACTATATCCTTCTTGTTGAAAAGTAGATTGAGAAAAGAGTAGACTGGAAAAGTGGAAAACCTCTTAGGTTTAAGATGGAGGTTCTTGAGTATTGTATTAAAAGAAATAAAGCTCTCCAGAAAGATTTAGTGAGTAAGGGACCAATGAGCTTTTTGCTTTGTCTTTTAAAATATGCAAAAACTATGTACTGTTCGTATTTTAGGATTTTTTTGGAGTAGTTGACTGTCTTGAACATTAACAAGGCAAAGGTTTTATTTCTGTATTTTAATTTTGGGTGCATTTCCCTCAACTTAAAGTACATAGACAGTAAGATTATTAATAGCCTTATGATGTAAGACAAATTATAATTAGTGTAATTACATGCTTGAATGGCCTTCTTTTATGCCATATTTTATATAGTAAATTGTGAATGTCATTTCTATTATGAAGAGCTATTTTTATTGATCACTTGCCATATGAAAGCTACTTGTCCAAAACACTTTATCAGGTTTTAGTCTTTAATTTAAAGCTAACAACAATCCTATGACATAAGTATAATTATCCCCATTTTATTTGTTTGTTTGTTTTTCATGGTACCAGGGTTCAAACTAGGGACCTTGCACTTGCAAGGCAGGCGGCGGAACCACTGAGCCAAATCCCTGGCCAACATATCCCCATTTTATAAAGGAGATAATGTTCAGAAGACCTAGTTAACTTGTCTGATGTCATGCAGCTAGCAGAGAAGAGTAAGAAGTCAAAGGAAGATAGCTCTGGTTCCAGTGGCAGGACTTGCAACCTATCCCTAGAATGTGGTACACCTCTGAGGAACACAGTGCTCTTTGTGTGGACTAGATCTGCTAGGAAAGGTGGTAGGTATTGTTCATCTGTCCTGATGTGGTCTCAGGTCTAGCATTTTTTCACTATTAGAAGAGCCTACACTCTGGACCACTGAGAGACTTAACCTTCGTAGATCATAGTCAACTCTCCTTACTGCTGCTTGGGAAACTGCAGCCATGAGTTCCCCAGCCTAGATTTTCAATATGTCAAAATTTACATGGTCACAGGAAAATATATACATAAGCCATTAGCTTGCTACCCAGGTTCATTTAAAGAACATAGAGTTCATGTATAGCACTTCCATCTCTGGCCCTTATTAATTGTTTTTTATTATTAAAATCTGGAGGTTAGGCCTATTTTTATTTGAATCCCACTTTTAACTAGATGTGTAATCTTAGAAAAATCATTAAGTTTAGTAAAACCAATAGATTTCATCATTTTGTTTTTTAAGCATTTATTCATCAATTTACATTGAAAGCATTCTACATTCTGGTGATTGACCAGGTGCCATGAAGCATGGAATCCTGAGGAAAACATAGTCTCATTCCTCAATGAATGTACAATCTGTAACAATAAACAAAATCTACCGGCATCAAAATTCCAAACAGGCAATGTCACAGTGTGACACAGATCAATTTCCCCCAGAGGGGCTTGGGCAGTGTGTGCTGGCAGTGTGGAGAGGGCAGGGGTAAGACGTTCAAAAACAATTTAGGGAAGAGGTGGAGCTTTGATACTGATGAGAAATTCTATCAATTTCATGATTCCCTAGAACTGACTTTGATGATAAACCTCCATGCATAATGGTTCTTATATTTGCAGAGATTTTTATAATCTCTTACATACCAATACATGCACATAGAAATACATAACTACATGAAATAAAAAGTGGGGAGTCCAGTCCCAATATAACTATGAACTGTGTTTAACCAAGAGTGAGTTACTATATCTTTCTGAGTATGAATTTATATATCTATAAGATGAAGGCATCAAAGTAGAAGATTTCCAAGTTTCCTCCAAGCTTAATATCATATTATGTAATTCAGTATTAGAAAAAAAAACAAAGAAAGGAAATTGCACAGTTGTACCTTTTGAGAGCAGAACTTTTTTGCTATAGTGCAAATGCACTTTCCTCTTTTCCTCCTTTGCTAAAAAAAATTTACAATTGCTAAAACATGTCCTAAATTTTTTTATTAGGCTCCAATGACAACATCACAAATGAATATCTAGTGACAGTCTTGTCAGCTATTAATAGCTCACAGTTTAAGGCAGGTGGAATTCTGGGATTTATGCAAATAAATGATAGAATTCTCTGTTATATTTTCTTGGTAAACTTCCAGTCTGCTGACTTAATAGCTATAGTGTACAAGAAAAAAAAAGAAGACATTCACATATATTATAAGAGAGATTATGAATTATTATTCTAAAAGTAGGCTTGTTGTACTCATTTGCATATAATGTTTAATTTTCCCCAAATGCTTCATTTTAATACATGCAAAAATGATAAAAAACTATCAAAATATGCTAATGAACTTTCTATTACAAATATATTGTTGTCCTTGATTCTAGAGGTTTATTATAAAAAACATTTAAAATTCTCACTAGAAAAGTGGTGATTGTTTTATAAAAATAATATTGAAGATATTCATAAACTTTTGAATTAGAGATTTTTCCAGTTAAAATTTCTTATTTAATCAATCACTGGGGCTACTGGAGCTTCGACAGCAGGAATGATTTCTTCAGTCACAGAGGTAACCAGTAACACGTGTCAATGGAGATTCCAAAATCCCTGTTATCCACTTTGGCATAATTTTACAGAGCCATATTTTCACAAACAAACACACTTAGTGTTTGTATTACAAATAAATAAAACTGTATCAAGTTTTGTTACCAATCAACTCCTTATGAGTTTCCTTGGAGACAGAAATACAGGTGAAGGTGCTCTAGACAAGAGATAGACAAGAGGGAAATGCTGGTAGACAATGAAGAAAGTAAAATTCAAACTCATACAGAGCAGTATTTAATAAACTACTGTCATTCAACTACCACCTTCATGACTTTTTCTTCATAAATTATTTATAGTATTTACTTATTTGTTTTTCTATGTCAACTCTTTTTATTTAACTAAATTCATGTTACAACAGAGTATTAAATTGTATGGCAAAGGGAAAGCCAGAAATATGTTTTAAATAAATGACAAGGAAAAAAAATGAAAACATACTAAAGCTAATGAAATTCAAACAGGATGTTGTTTCTTATCAAAGCCTCTGTGCCTGGAATCTGTTTTGCCTTTGTTACACAAAAGAGTGGAGAAGAAGTGAGGAGATTAGCAAGTTTTAGAAGTGTTAAAAATGTCATCACCCAACCAAGATATTTTTCCCCTGATATTTAAATATCATTGAAAGGGAAATGACTGTCTCACAACATGATTCAGCGTATTCAGTGTCCCATCCAGTGTAGATCATACCCTAAATAATCCCAGGTGTGCATCTTCTGCTTTGGAATAAGACACCTCTGTTAGCTAGACCTCTGAGATATTTCAGACCAGAAAACCCCACCACAGGTAAATGAAAAGAAATTTCAGCAGTCATGCAGGCCGTGTAATAAATACAGTGATACTAAATACGGAAACTGGAATCACCAGCCTGGTTTTCATCTTAGCACTTCAATGCAAAAAAAAAAAAAAAAAAAAAAAAAAAAAAGTGAACTAACTCCTCTGAGCCTCAATTTCCTTACCTGTAAAATGGTGATAACAATAAAACCTGACTCTAAGGATTGTGGTAAAATTATCTAAGAACACATGCAGCACAAATGAGAAACATCGTTGAGCACATTGTAAGTGTCAAGGTTTGCATTCATGCTATACCGAGTTCTTATAATATTCCCTAAAGGTAGACATTATGAATCTCATTTTACAGTTCAGAAAGCTGAAATGTAGGAAAGATAATGACTCTCCCAAGCCGGTAAGTGGTTGAACAGGAATTAAAGTCCATGTTTTCTTATGTCTAGTACATACCTTCCTAGTAATTATGCTTTAGACATGCAGCTACGATGGTTAGGGAGAAAGAGGAAACCATGGATAAGCAGAACACTATAAGTAAAAACAAAACAAAACAAAAAAACACTTATCTGCAAAGATCATGGTGAATTATTTACTTTGATTATTGCATCAGTCAAAGTGTTGCTTAGCAAACAACTCCAAAGCTCATTAGTTCACAATAGTAGATTTTCCCCCACTCACACTCCAGATTTTGTGTTGGGTACTTGTTAACATCGCACCCATGGGACTCTTGTATGAGCAGCCACTCAGGTCTGTTTTCCTCGAGTGGTTCACAGAAGCTCAGGGGAGCAAACCAAGCCACATGGGCACATATGACACCTAAACCTAGCCTTTCTCTGGTCGCAGAAAAGGACAAAAGTCAATCCCAAAGTGGACCACAAAATTAGATCCCTAAACTCTTGCTCAGGTCAAATTGGAGTCATCTTCTTTTCCCAGTCACTTCCTTATACCTCTGAGAGCTCTGTGAGAAGGATGCTCCTGGGTCCTCTGTTAGTTCACAAAGTACAAGAAACCCAGGGAGTGGACCTCACCCCATTCACACCTACTTGGAACCAGATGAGATGGGATCAGCAGAGCAGCATGGTAAGTGCTTACCGCATGGCTTCTGATACTTGTAGTTTATGGTTATGCAGCAATAGGTGACTGATACACCAACCAAAGTGGAGGGATATCTAGTGGCAAGTGCTATTATTCAAATTACTTGACCCAGACAATCTCATCCCTCTTCCAAAGGAAGAAAAATCACTGACTCCTGTGAGTTTCTATAAAGTGTTATAAGGTAGAGCTCAAGGTTTTACTTAGGCTTCATCTTTTGATTTTTCACTCAATTGTACATTAGAGATATTTATATGTTCCCTTTTTAAGAGAGGAAATACAGGCTTAAACAAGTAAACCATCTTCTCAAGGTTACAAGGATGGCAAATATGGAATTTAAACTCTTTATATTTCATGTTCTCTCCAACACATAAAAATACTGTTCTTTAGCAGACAGTCTAAGGTACACCTCTTGCTAGGAGCTCTTCTCCCTCTAACCAATCCACCTGGTGGAGACTAGGACAATTCTAGGACATCGCCAAAGATGGAATTGTCGAAGAAGCATCAGGGAACAAACTGAGTTTTCATATTCATCTCCAGAGAGTCATTCTCAGAGGAGGCAAGATTCCCTTCTGGTGAGAGTAACCCTGGGAAGTGTGCAAACTTCTGAGCTCAGTGCAGCCTCAGCTAATAAATCATTTGTGAGACCATAGCCTGCAATGTCAAGCTACTCCAGGCCCAGTGTTGCCATCTCCAGATAAAAAATTGCACCGTGCACTGCAGGCTGTAGACCAGGGACAGTTTGCTATCTTAAAGTACACAGACTTCAATGTCACACTTTGTTTCCACAGCTCTGTAGCAGGCTTTGGTCTGGAAAGATAAAGAGACCCCTTTTTTCCTTTGCAGAAGAGGTTTATATGCCTACTTGCTTCAAGTGGTTAGGAAGAAACATGGCCCATAGGCAGCATTCTGGAATTCATGACTCACTCCCCCATTAATAGTCTCATTTACCTCTCCCAATGACCCAGGGAAGTTGGCTTTATTATGCTTGAGCTTTTGGATGGGAAAACAAAGGCTCTGAGAGTAAAAGGGAGTGGCTCAGGGGTCTATATCTGTATCCTCAAGGAGCAGACCTGGATGTGAAATCCTGACCTCTGTAACCAGCCTCTGGGTCATTCCCAAAGACAAAAATTGCTGTGCTGCAGAGCCTTCATTGCCATTATCACGTGCCCCCCCACTTGGGGTTGAGTTTTGCCATCTCTTAATAAACCTGTGTGGAAACAAAACTTATCTGAAAGATCATTTCATGAAGCTTAGTATAGTTGTGTTGGTATTGAAGTGTTAATCACGAGAGGATGTGAAAAGCATCAACCTTCCTTAGAGGCGTATTTAGCCCAACTCACACTCTAGACATTGTGTTGGGTACATTTTAACTTCACATTCATTTTGTTCCGGGAGAAACTATAAGCAGAAAAGAGACAGACATTTCCAACCCATGTAGTCAGTTCAGAACTCTAAACTTGTGTTTTCTAATCACAGAGCAGCTTGTTTATCCTTACAGAGGCAACCAGAAGCAAAAATCACTTGAAAGAGTTGGTTCCACCTTCACAGAGCTTCACCAAGACCTCTACAGCTAGTCTCTCATCAGGTGTTCCTCGATGAAAAAGGCACGTTAGGCTTTTCTTTCTCATTTAGCAGACAAACCACCAGGCATCCAGACAGATAAAACCGTAGAGTGAAATACTCGAGAGTTGAGTGATTTTCTGCAGATCATAGAGAAGCCAATCCCCCTTCTCAAAGTAAGCTTAGAGAGTTTAATTTGTTTCTGTTCTACATGCCTTTATTACACAGAGATTATGATTAACCACAGTGCTGGTGCCAGATTGGTAAAGTACAAAAGATTCAGTTCTAACCCTTATAGATGATGCATCACACTGGAAAAGCAGACATGAAACTTTGATTATCATCCAAAATAAGTATCTAATTAAAATATTAATAAGTGGAATAAACAAAATTATAGAAAATAATACAAATTTTTGAAATTTCTGATAGGAGGAGAGGAATGACCTAATATAGTGGGTCTAGAAAGAGTTCTTTTAGGCTAAGAGATGAATTTTTCCAAAGAAGAATAAAAGAGCACTAGGAGGAGAGACCCTGAGACAGGAAAGTGCAAGTTGTGTTCAAGCAGCAGACAAGTGCCGCGTGGGTTAAACACCCAGGATAAGAGGAGAGTGGAATAAGATGGGGTGGAGGTTAGATTCAAGTATGCTGAGGGAATGTGACACATTTAATAGTAAAAGAAATAACCAAAGATGTTAAGTAGTTGAGAAATGATCAGATCTGTGACTTAAACATTGCAGAAAACATTCTGCTAATAGTGTCAGAAGCAGATGAGTAGGGCACTTAGTTCATAAGTGACAGTAAGAATAGTGAAAAGTGGACACCTTGGCACTACCCCTCATACATAGACTCTGTAAGATTTGGTGATTAATGATTTGTAATAGCAGAGACAGTGAGAATAAAGATGTTTAAAAGACTCCCAAACTTCTGACACAAAGACACTAGGAGATTAGCAGAGACAGAACAAGAAGAAAAAGGGGTTAGGTCTGAGGCTGAGGCACAGTCAATGTCACGGAGTTGCTCACTGATCCTCAGCTTTAATCCTAGAAGGCTGTGCCTGTTTGGGAAATCAATTTGGCTATGATTCCACATAGATGATACTTAAAATCACAGTAATGATCAGGTGGTCCAAAATGGAGGGAGCTGTGACAACAAAATATCATGGAACAAAGGACAGAATCAGAGGAGAAAAAGGAAGATCTAGTGATAGGGACTTCAACATTTTAGGTAGATGAAGAGGGGCTGGCAGCAGAACCTATGAAAGACTGAACAGCCAAGTGCAAAGAGAACCAAGAGAAGACTACAAGAAGAATATCTAATGTTTTCCAAGTGGTACAGAAGTCAAGTAAACAGAATACTTCAGAATGTGCCTTAGATTTGGCAATGTGAAGATGACTGGTAAATTCAGGATCGAGTAATAGGCAGAAATTTGCTTGGAGTGAATTAAAGATGGAGTAATGTGGTGAGTAATAGAAACTATGTGCTGTTTTTTTCAGATGTTTACATGTGAAGACGAGTAGATACTTTTATCAATAGCTAAAGGGGATATAATATTTATCTAATATTGATTAATTGAGGGGGCTGGTAACGGAGAACAGATTGAATGGCAAAGGCAGATGGTGGGCTAGTAAGGGAAGGCAGAATACAAACAAAGGGAATGGCCATTAGTTAAACAGTTCTTCTAGCACTAGGGGAAGGAAGTCAAGAACCAGAACAGATACAGATAGATTGCCTGCATTTGTAAGTTAGAGGAAATCTGGCCTCAAGGTTACTTGTAATTCAAAATCCAACATGTATGAAGAATGAAGAAATCTGTGGGGGATCTGAAGAAAACTCTCAGGGGCTTCTGACTCCTTCAGTCCCTGCGGTTGGGTGGGTTGTGTTCTGTCTTAACAGGAGCTTCAGGCCAGCCCACAAAGGCTTGAGACACAAGTCACAGCACCGCTGGGGCATCTAGATCAGAGACAGGGCGGCATCACACCAGGTGTGGCTTGGTGGGCATGCATGGTGGGGCCGCAGAAGCAAGGCACATTGGTGTTGAAGTGATTAATCTCTTGTCTCCATTACTCTAAATGAGCTAAACAAATCCCTTGCTGGGCCTGTCACACTGATGTTCCGCATGCAAATTGTTCCTAATGAGCTAGGGCACAGGGCTGGTCCCCTGGTTGGTAAATCCATTCATTTCACAGTACACTGTCTTTGCCACATACTTCTGTAACACAGACCATTGGTAGAGGAGCTGTTAAAGGCAATGTTGGCCATTTAGAACTGCTTTTGGACTGTGCTGTCACTTATGGGCAGCACAGTGCAGGGGACTAGGGCTTAGAGGAGCTGGCTTCATGTTATGAATGACAATTCTCACTCCTCTGAGCCTCTACTTTTTCTGGGCTCAAAATAATGTGTCTGGGCTGCATTTCCAGAGTGCTCATTGACATACTTGTAATTTGCAATACAAATTTTAAAAGAATCCCATGATAAAATATTATGGATAAATGGGAGTTTGAAAAGTTTCAAAAACTTTGTTCTGTGTTTTGTTTGTTTACTTACCATGGGTCATCTCAAAACGGTGACTGTGTTAAAATGCACTGTGAGCAAGTAACAAAATGAGTTTTTTGTTTTGTTTTTTGGTACCGGGGATTGAACTTGGGAACTTGCACTTGTGAGGCAGGCAGTGGAAAATGTGTGTATTTTAATAGAGATCATGTTGGCAAAATATTCTCTGGTCATCCTTGAGATTCACCACTGGAAATCTGACTTTTAACTGTCTGTATCTGAGAGGGAATCCGGGGAATGAGAGAAAGAGAAATAACTACCTAAATAGCTAAAAAGGTTCAGATTACCCGATTTCAAGGACATTTATTGGTTATCTGATCTGCTCTGTGTCATGCTTTCTTTCTCCCTATTTTTTTTTCTTAATTTTGCTTTTACTTCTCTTGGATAAGAAATATAATTAGAAAAGAAAGGAGATTCGGACCATTTGCCTGATTTATTGTATTTTCTTTCATTGTATTTGTTGGAATGTATTGTATTTGCTCTCAGTCTTGGCAGCAGATCATATTGAAACCCACTGGTCCCTGAGCTTTGTCTCCTGCATCCCAGCTTCCACTGGGTACCTCCAGGAATGTGGAACCCTTTGTATTCTGAAACTACTTACTTCCTCACTCAGCATCATTTCCTTAGAGAATGACAGAAGTTTCTCTCTCACGTGTCTACACGGACCAAATGCAATCAGGGTGTAATTTCCACCTTCAGGGCTTCGATACCATATGGAAATCTAAGGAACTACTCACCCACATCCAGAGGAACTTCTGTTTTGAGATCCAAACATGAACAAGCCCTAAGTTTAAAAAAAATGTAGGTGGTGTTGCATTTCACAGTGTCATGATTTGCATCAGGAATGACCCTCATACTCCTATGAGTCCAGAAGCAGGGCTTTTGCAAGATGACTGGATTGTGGGGATGCTGTAGTTGACTTGCGCTTGAGAGGTAGGGCAGACAAGAAGAGACAGGTCACTCTGGGCAAGACCTAGAAGGGTGTATATCTCCCTCCTTGGCCTCTCCCCTCCCTCTCTCTGTTTCCTGACCCCCATGCTGTGAGCTGCTTTTCTCCACCCCACTCTTGCCACCATTTCTGCACTCAGACCTGCCAGACATGGACTGGAACTTCTGAAACTGTGAGCCAAAGTAAATTTCTGCTCTTTTAAATTGAGGGAGTCAGGCATTATGTCCCACTGAAGAGAAAGTGACTAAGAAACGCAATAACTACAAAACCCCAAAGTAAGAAATACTACATAATACATTTCCCTCCCTATCTATTAAGGCTGATCAAACAATATCGCACCCAGGAAGAACTGGAATTTCTGATGACATGATAACAAACACATTCGGTGAAAAGCAAGAATCTTGAATTCTACCTTTCTCTCACCAATTAACTATACAACTCATGATGAGTTAGTCCCTCTTTCTGAGCTTTTCCACACATTTATAAAATGCAAGTTATGCTGCATAACCACTAAGGTTTCTTGTAGCAGTTCACATTCTATATGCCTGTGACATATGACAAATTTGTTCTTAATGGACTTTGGTAAATAAAGACAGTGTGAAATGTTCTTACAAGCCAAGCAAGAGTGAGAAGCCATATGAATTGTCACACCATCAAGTCTTTATGATGAACAATAGAGAAACTTGTGTGGGATAGGAAGAAGTGTAAGATCTAATAAGAATTAGTAATAACGATTCATTCAGTTATTATTATAATATTTCATTTGCATTCACTTATTCAACAAATATCTTTGAAGAATTTGTTCTATGAACTTCACTGCATGAAAATAAGGGCATGGTAAGGAATGAGAAATAATTCCTGTTCTCTCAGGAATAAGAAATGACTCCTGCATATGAGTACTAGGACAGTGGAAATAGACACTGCTTAATTAAATAAATGAACAAGACAACTTAAAATAGCATATTGGTAAACACTGGCTTGATTAATTTAATAGATGCCCCAAATAATGCTAGTTTATACAAGATAAACAGTTTATGTTTAATCATATAACAGTTCATATGTAAGAACTTCCATAGCTTCCAGAAAACTGGTTCCCCTCTTTTTGCTCCGTTATGTCTAGGGCTTTTCCCTTGTCTGCTTAGTTAAACGCTTAGTGAGCATCTTCCCCTCAGAGCCAGCAGGAAGGAAAGGGCACATCTTTCTCTAACAGCGGGGTTCAGAAATGGTAAACTTCACTTCTCATATCTCCTTGGCCAGGGTTTTTCTCATGATTGTATCATCTGCCAGACGGTTAATGAATGTAGTCTTCATTCATTTATTTCTTAGGAAAACTATAAGGATTCTTTTAGTACGGAAAAAGGAAGCATAGGTATTGAGGAAGAACAAACAACAACTTCAACCGGTAATATAAACAGAACAGGGGATCATCAGGCATATTAGGCTAGGATATGCTGTGGGAACGAACAATCTCAGAATCTTAGCAGCTTAAGAGTTTGTGTTGCTTATGCTACAGCATGGGTCTCAAGAATAAGGGAGTCTGCTCTTATTTTGATCAATTACTTACTGTGTCAGAGGGTTTGAGATTTCTGGAGGGTGTTACATTGGCAACTAAATACTCTTCAGAGTTGATGTTACTTTTTTTTTTTTTTTTTTTTTTAATCAAACCCAGGACCTTGAGTTTATGAGGCAGGTGGCAGAACCACTGAGCCAAATCCCTGGCAAGAGTTAATGTTACTTTTGCTCATAACTCTTTGGCCAGAATGAAGCACATGGTCCTACCTAACAGCAAAGAACCAAGAGTGTAACCCTATATGGTCCACAGAAGGAGACAGAACTCAAACATCTCAGATACAGTGCTACACACTTTTCTAAATGGGATGGGACAGAGGGTAGCTTGAACAGAGGATCAGTTTAATTTAAATGGCATGGCACTTGCTTTTCTGAGCAGGTTTTGTAGAGGAGACTGGAGTGATAAGAAATAGGTATCAATCCTGTGAAAAGTCTGAGGAATGAATGTACATTTTTAACTCACCCTGGTTGCTCCACAGAGGACCAAAAGGATAAGCAAGGACGTGAATTGGAAATTATTTTCTTCTTAAGGCAATGTTAGCAGGCGAGCATTATTGCCAATCCCATGTTGAGAGGAGTAAACAAAGGCACAGAGGACTTCAATAATTTGCTTCCAGACTCTTATCTAGTACAGGACAGGATCAGAATTTGAACCCAAGCAGAGTTTGCGGCAAAGATGAAAACCACTAAGTTCAATCACTCATCCCAGCCCTGGAGGCAGACGGTCCTTCTCAAGTAGGGGTCAGCAGGCTCAGAATCAATTAACTAGAACAGCACATAAATGAGGGGGTCAAGGTGCCATCTTACCTTCTGGTGTCTTGTGAGATATTTGTCCAGGGAAGAGAAAAGAAAGGATTCTTATTCCCGGCAGTGGTTAACTGTAGGTGCAAATGCTTACAGGCTTCAAATGTGCCTAGAAAGAGAATGTGCAATGAGTGTTCAGGAGAGAAAGAGAGAGGAGAAGTAAGACAGACAGACAGACAGACAGACAGACAAGGAATGAGCCTGGAACATTGGCTGGGGCCAATTTCACTCACCAACAGTCACGAAGAAAGTGCATCAATTATTCAAATTATTTTTCCAATCGAAATCCCAGTGACAAAGGGCTTCTGTTATATTCTAGCAAAGTTATCTTGCAGAACATTTCTGGAAATCACCAGTGCAAACAGCAGTAACATAGATCCACGGGGGCAAAGAAAACACGTCAATGGGACCAGCCGTAAGCTGAAATGGAAAAAAAAAAAACCCAGGAAGAAAATGTGATGCCTCCTGAGCCTACAATGTGACCTTCAGCCCTTTAAACAGACGCTCTTGGCTTTTGCCATGAGACCAGAAGAAAGAAGTTCACACTCAGAACCAGTGGACTTCAGGATTACTGGGTGAGAACACAGGGAAAGTCATCTTTGGGCCATGGCAGATGTCAAATCAGAAGGCCACCAAAACTAGAGGAACTTGGCAGAACACAGACAGGACTAAGGACTTCAGCAGTCTTACCCTAGCCTCCAAAGCTCTGCCACAGAGCAGCTCAGCTCCCTTGCTTGCTCGCTTCATATCTCCACCCGCTTCCCCTTTGCACTGCAGTCTCACTGGCCTTTCAATGACTGGCATGGCTCCATCTCAGGACCCTCAGCCACCATGACCAGGAACACTTCTCTCCCCCCACGCTAGTTAGACACAGGTCTCACTGTTCCACTGTACATGTCTTGGTTGCAGTGCCGGATCCCTGGCAGGCCCTTTCTGACGCTCCCAATCTAATATAGAAATGAACAGACACTTCTCAGAGAGAGAAGTACAAATGGCCAAAAATCACATGCCTCGATGCTCAACATTGCCGGCCACTAGAGAAGTGCAAATTAAAACAACAATGAGTTTCCATTTTGCCCCAGAAAGAATGGCCATCATCAAGATGCCAAATACCAACAATGTTGGCCAAGCTGAGGGGAAAGCCTTCCACACTGTTGGTAGGAATGTAAAATAGTACAACCACTAAGGAAACCAGTATGGAGATCCTCAAAAAGCTAAAATTCAAAATCCCACTTGACCCAGCTACTCCCCTCATCGATATCTTTTCCCCAAATTAAAGACGTTATACTACATTGGTGAGTGCACACCCATGTTTATCAGAACAATTCGTGATAGCTGAATCTCGGAAACAAACTATATGTCCATCAACAGATGAATGGATAAAGAAAAGGTGGTATTTACACGTAATGGAGTACAACTCCACCATAGAGAAGATGAAACTTTTTGGTAGAAAAATAGAAACACCTTATGACCATAAGGCTAAGTGAAATAAATCAGACACACACAGGCTTAAATATCACATGATTTCTCATCTATGCGAAACCTACATTATAAGAGCAAAATAAAAGGTAGACAACAGTAAGTAAGGAGATAGAGCTTTATCAAGTGGGAAGGGAATCAAGAGGTGGAGGGAGTAGGGAGGAAAAAAAGGGAAAGGAGGTGAGAAAAGGGTTTCAAATACATGTACCCACCTCGCACAAGAAAAGTAAACATTATGTACTTAAATACTTATTAATAAAACAATAAAATACCACCTCTGATGTTTTTCCATTGTTTTCATACTTTCCATTGCATATTACAGCACGCTTTACTTTGATGTTTGCTTACTTGTCTGCCCACGTGATTTTACCTCCTTGAAGACGTGGGCTATCCTTTATACCACTGTCTCCTTAAGATGAAGAGCAGATGATGCTCATGAAATATTCATGAAACAAATGAATGACTACATGTAAGTGGCACAAAGTGGTATAAAAAGGGCATGCTAATAAGGACCATAGAAAACAACCCAGTCACTGGAATTGGGATTAAAAATGGAAACTGAAATTAAACCAGTGGAAAGTCACTCCGTGGCTGGCCTGAGGCTCCTGGCGTGGATTTTACGATGTGCTCAATTTAGGGCCAAGCCCCAAAGTGGACCCTATTATCCCCAGGATTAGACGTATGTGGGTGTAAGGTAGCTGATCACAATTCTCCTTTGCCATTTTTCCCAAATCCAGTTCTGTTTCATTTGAAACTGGATTAAAGTAAAGACAGACTGGCACCAGACTACATCCAGCGTACCGTCCATTCCTTATGAAATGGCCCCTTACGTCTGATTTCTGTGCATTGTGGTAAGAGATGGCTGTGATAATGAACAATGAAGAAACTGGAGTCAGCATAGCTGGCAACATCCCTTGATGTGTCGTTTCTGTCCAGCCTGTGGTTTGCTAAGAGCCTGCGGGCCAGTTTGCTGCTCCTATGGCAGGGCCAATTATCTCTACATCACAGCCACAAGCATCCGGACCACATAACTTGACGAGCACCATGGCACATTAGGATGATAACACACTCCAGAGGCTGCCCCCACTTGGTGGCTCAATTCTGTGAAATGACTGGAGCCACTCTCAGCTTTGAGAAGCTTCACCTCAAGACTTCTGCCACTCCCATCCCACACAACCCAGGGGTGGTCGTGAGAAAATCCATTTCCGTTGTCCGATCACCAGCATATATAATCTGTGCAGAAGAGCTCTGGACTTGATGAGCCCAGAGTAGGGATCTGGAACTTCCTTTACTTTTTTTTTTTCAGCTTTAATTGAGTTTATTGTACATTTTAGGGATACAGTACAGTCACATTCATTGTTGGAATCTTGTACCTCTACACGACAGGTCTCGGTTCTCATTTTTTCCCCTTGTCCCTGTCCTCCCTTCACCCCCTCTGCCCCTCCCCATCTACAAACACTTTATTTCCATCTTTTCTTTATCTCACATTTTTTCTTTTCCCTTATTACCCTTCCCCTACCCATCCCACCTTCCCCACACCTTTAGCCCCTTTCTTCCCATTTCACAATGTCAGTCATCTTATTAGGATCTTGTGTATTATTGCAGTTTATTCAGACCAGAGAAACTATTCGGTATCTACACATGTGTGACTTATTTATTTCATATAGGAGTATATCTTCAATATGTATCCATTTTCCTATGAACGAATCTATTTTCTCATTCTTTATGACAGAGTAATATTCCATTTTATAGAAAAACCACATCTTCTTTATCCAGTTTCCAACTGCTGGGAAAATGGGCTGTTTCCAAGTTTTAGCTATTCCTTTACTTTTCATTTACTGAATGAACTAAAGTGATCTTTTGAAAATCTCTGGGCTCAGTCCTTGCACTGAAAAATGGGATCAAGTTTGCCTGCCTTATGCTGTAACATAAAGTTTGTTACAATTATGTGTAGAACTTTGACAGGTTGAACATCTCTAATGCCAAAAGCCTCAAATTTGAAAATTTTGAGTGCTGATATAATGCAATAAATAGAACATTCCACATTTGACCTGATAAAGTGAGTTGCAGTCAAACTACAGGTACACTAAAAATACTATATAAAATTACCTTCAGCTGATGTATATAAAATGTAAATGAATGTCATGTTTAGACTTGAATCCCTGCCTCGATAAATGCCATTATGTGTAGGTAACTATTCCAAAATGCAAAAATATTAGAAATTTCAAATATTTCTTGTCCCAAGCATTTTCTGCTAAGCACTGATAATCATTTGTGACCATATGGGAGAAGGGAAGAAAGCAAGTTCAGCTTCAGTACAGGAGTATTTTAGTAGAGAATTTTTCTAAACATTTTCCCAAGAATGACACTCACAGTAGATACCCAGGCATAATGATTTTGTGACTGGGAATTCAAGGAGGGCCTTCCACTGCAAGTACCACATCTTTATTCCTCAAAATAAACACATTTTCAGGGAGCATCAGCCCAGAGAACTATCTTTCCATCTCTTGGCCTCTGGAGTCCGCAGTTTTCCGCTTGTGTGGCTAGTACAATCCATCCAGGAAGTGCTATGGAAAGTGAAACTCTGAGGGGAAGAACAAGCGTGAATATTTATTAGAAAGTTGTTAAAATTAGATGTTTAGCTATTTCTTTCCAAAGTCTCCCTTTTTTTCCTGCTGATTTCTAACAACTCTTGGCCTTCTTATCAGAAATCCAGCATCAGACACTACCAATTCGGGAAGTATGGCACCATGGGAAAGTGCTGGCCTGGGAGCTGCTCTGCCATTTTCTTTGACCTTGGGAAAGTCCCTAACCCTTGATTTCAGGTTGTCATTCCTCCTGAGCTTCCCATTCCCCACTGTAAATGAGTGGGGTCAGGGTGGGTGTGTCTGAATCTCTCATAGCACCGTGATTCAATACATTCTCAATTGATTTCATTTCAATTAATCTCAATTCAATCCAATTTGCTATATTTCAATTCAATTATTTCCATTTAGTTTAGTAATTCCATTTCACTCAGTTCAAGTCAATTCAAATACACTAAATTCCACTGTCTCCAATCTGATCCATGCTTTCTTGGTGTCCTAAGCAATTTCTTGGGCTCAGCAACTTCTAGGATGGAGATGGGGGAGGAAAAGGATCAGCATGAATGCCGCCCTGGGCCCCCACATGGATCTGATCAAAGTTACCAGTGAGATGCCTGGGTCTTTAGAGAACATGAGGTGTTGGAAATAATATGGAACCACAAATAAAAATCTGCCCTCATATGGGCTCAGGAGACCTGAACACATAACAGACAGTGAGCCGGTACTCACTACAAGTGAAGGAATAAATGAATAAATTTAAGTGCTTGTTGAATTAACTGAAATATTTATTTTGAATTAGTGAATGAATTTAAGTGAGCTAATTCCTAAAGTTGACCTCTCCCCCACTCATCCCCAAATCTGGGTTTCTCTGTGACCCCTGTCAAGTCACATGTAGCCCTTATTCCCCAGGGAGAGTTGAAGATTTACATCAGGCAGCCCAGATCTAAGTCCTGGAGCTGAGATTCTGCTAGTCCTCCCCTCCCTCTCCCTCTGGATCAGGCTCTCCCCTGCCCATAGAGCTTCTCCAAAGAGAAGAGCTGAGAAAACAATGCCCAGTGATTGGCTCTGACAGCTTTCCCAAGGGCAGAGCAGCAGGTGAGCAGGTGATGCCCTGATTGCAAGTTCCATGATGAGTCAAGAGGGATTGATTAGTGTGAGCCTCTTAAGTCAAGTAGCTCCAAAATTCCCCAAGTGAACAGCTCCCTCCTTTTGGCCCCCGTCCCAGGCCTCATCTTCTGCTTCTATGGCAGTCACCCTCCTCTATCTGATGTTCCCCTTTAATTTCCCTTGAAGTACTTAGAATTTAAGGAGTTAAAAAAGAAAAAAAAAATCTAGCACTTAACATATGCCAGAGAGAGTGGTCTGATCTTCATAACATCCTCAGGATAACCATCATGAGATAATCTTATTACCACCTCTACTTTACCGCTGGCTTAGGTCATAAACCTGAAGTGACATAACTAATGATCAGCAGTATCTTTAAAGCCAAAAGAGCTTATGTTCAAATAGCAGTATGATAGGTGTACCATGCATGCCAGCTCCCTTCCCTGTCTTCCTGCCATGCCCTGTGAGACTCTCAATCCCACCACCACCCATGGCCTTTAGATGTGCACTGGTCTGACACCTGAGTTGTCTCCCAGTCTTGAAAGGTGGGTTTCTTTCTCCTCTGAGCCCAGAGCCAGCCTAGCCCAGGAAGCAGGCTCCAGTTCTGAACGTTAGTAGTCCTTCTGGGGTAGAAGCTGTACCCTATTTGGTCATGAGCCAAGTCCCCTTCCAAGTCTCATGGGTGGAAGTCGAGCAGGTCAGACTTGGGTCTAATTGAGCAAAAAGTAGACCTGGTAGGCGGTCCTCTTCCTCCAGAATTCCCAGGACATTTATACCCCTAAAGACTCAGCTGTAAGAGCCCAGTGCCCAGGAGGCTCTCACCAATGTCTCGCCAGAGCACATCAACTGAAGCCTATCCCAAGGCCTTTCCACTTTTGTAGAAGGGCTTGGGGACTAAGGCGTTAATTTCATAGGTCCGTGCTTCCCAGAGCTGTTCACTCTGTCATTCTCTCCTTTGTAATGTGTTCTTGTAAGCAAATAAAACAAACAAAATATCCAAGAGAAACAGAGTGAAATAGTGATTAAGAGGAATGGGAGGAGAGGAGGGGGAGGAAACAGGGAGAAGTGGGTCAGAGGATCCCAATTTCTCATTAGGTAGAATGAGGAGGTCTAGAGATCTAATGTTCAGCATGAGGATTACAGTTAAAATATTTTACTGCATTCTGAAAGTTTGCAAACAGATTGTAGAGCTCTTGGCAGGGGAAAAATAGGTGACTATGAAAGTTAATGGATATACTAATTTGTCATAATCTCACCATGTCTATCAAAACATCATGTTATTTACTATATATGCGGTCATATATAATATTATATATATGACCAAATAATTACTGCATTCTGAAAGTTTGCAAACAGATTGTAGAGCTCTTGGCAGGGGAAAAATAGGTGACTATGAAAGTTAATGGATATACTAATTTGTCATAATCTCACCATGTCTATCAAAACATCATGTTATTTACTATATATGCGGTCATATATAATATTATATATATATGACCAAATATATATATATATGTAATATATATGTAATAAATATATATGTAATAAAAAGATATATATGAATACATTTTTGAAAGCATTACAAAGAGAAAGCAAAGGAAAAGCATAGGCAATGTTTTAGCAACTTTTAAGGTGGTTCTCAAGCTTGACTGCGTTTTAGACTCCCCTGTTGTGACTATAAGAGAAACAAATTTAAGGACTCACTTCTAGAGATTCTCATTCATTCATTCATGTTCATTCATTCTTTTATTTCTACTCAACAAGGACAGCTGTAGGAGTTGGCGATAAAACAGCAAGTTTCTGCCCTCATGGAGTCTACAGGGGGAAAATGGACAAAACTGATACTAAAAACTAAGAAAAACACGGAGCAGATTACCAGGGTAGAGAAAGCAGACCAAGACTAAATCTGGGGTGTGTGTTTTAAGTAAGTGTAGCAGGGCATTTTAATGCAGTAGTCCCTGGACACATTGAAACAGTGGCCTACTCACCATCAAAACCTATATGTGGTGATTTCATTTCAAACACACACTAGAAAAGGTAGTAATTGTTATCACAACTCACATTTACCAGAGGCTCAGAGAAAAGGGTTTGCCAAAGTTATCACAACTGGTGAGAAGCAGAGTCTGACTTCAGACTCAGCTCTGCAACATGTTAAGAAACAGTGATGCCACTTTCTGACCAGCATATCTTCCTGTCACCCTAGTACTGTCAAAATCTTCCCTATTGGCAAAGCACATTCTCACCTTTCGTTCTCATTTGGGGCTCATTAATCTGAAGGGGTGCTGCCTTTGCTTTCTCCTCCCCCAGTTACAATGAAGCAGGCTCTCAAAAGTTTTCCCATTGGTACTGTACCTGCAAACCTGGCCTGAGTTCATCTGATTAGCAATGAGAAACGGTCTTACCAACATGCAGGCTTAAGGAGGGCCTGGGCCCTCTTGTGTTCAAACAGTGCTTTGGGATTTCCTGGGTCCCCTGGGCTAACTCAGTCTATACATTTGACTGTCAGGCTTGGTTCCCCAAACCCCAGCCTTCTTTTTCTAATTCCTGATTGGTTTGTTCAGTTTCTACCTAAAGAGCTGTTGCAAGCAGGTAGACAATGTCTGATGATGACGACAGAAGCCACAATAGTAACAGCAATGATAACAAGCACTTAGAACAGTATTTGGCACACAGCAGACCTTCAATAAATATTTGTTTAATGAGGTGTTAAAAGAATGAATAATTATAAATAACAACTGCAACTGATTACTATGTTCCAGGTACCAGGTTAAACAATTTTGCACATCATTCTCAAAAATGCCCCATGAGATAGCTAATGTTTTCATGACTGTATTCCACAAAAGAAGAGCAGAAACTTAGAAAGGTCAAGTTAATCGCTCCAGTTCACAAATCTAGGAAATGGTCAAGCATTCATTTGAACCTGTGTCTGATTCCAAAGCTCATGCTCTCAAAAGTGATCCATCTTCAGGAAACAAGATTATTTCATGATAATCTGCTTTGTGATGAGCTTTGCTGTTCTTGCTGCCTGGAAACCTCTGCAGCATTACAGGACACACAGGATTAGGTTATCTTGGTTATCAGGACTGACTCAGATCAGAAATTTCTCCGTCCTTCTGAGTGGATACCTGGAACTCTTAGAAGGCTCACTGTTACACCAACCCAACAACTAGTGTTTCCCTCCTCCACCGTTGGTGGCATCAGCTTCTTCAGTTCCCTCGTCCTTCTATCCTGGTGTCCCAGCATAGCTCACAGCCAATCTGATCAATGGCAGTTTTATACCAGTGCCTGCAAAAATACTTAAAACTCCATCCATTGAGCTGTCAGTCTATGTCCCCGGACACAGGAAGCACCAGGCAGAGATACATAATTTTTGAGGGGCTCGGGAGGTAAGACAAAACGCCTCTCAAGTGTTAGACATGAACAAGCACAAAGGAGACACAGAAGCCACAGTGTGACTTCTTTTCTTTTATTCCCACATTCATGGAGCTCCAGGTACCAAATTAGGGACATCTTCCAAACATGTTCCCAAATCAGCTTCCTTTGAAAGCATAGCTAAAAAAGGCATGGCACTCTAAATGCCGTCCCTTTCCGTGCTGGTAAGCAGCTTATTTAGCCCAGTGTGTGGCCACCTTAAGAGCCTAGAGGAGAGAGCCTGCTGCTGAGAATCATCTCCAGGAGTGCTGGGGGGCAGCCGTGAGTCACTGGGATGATGGGGAGAGGGGGGCAGGGAGGGTGAAGAGCCAGCTCCACGGCTCACAGGGACAGGAATCCCTGCAGCGTAGGATGAGGGGTGACGGAGAAAGGCAAGTGTGAGCATGGATTTTCACAAGCATGCAACCTAGAGGTTTAAAATTTGAGTATTGGAAAGAGGTACAGTGTTTCATCCACTGATGAG